AAAAAAAAAATAAAAAATAAAAAATTCCCTCCAAATCCTTGAAAGCCTGACCAAGGCTTACCTTGACATGATGGATCACGCGTTCTACTTCATTCACTTTGTAGGTCTCCAATCCTAGATCCTTGGCCAATCTTAAAATACGATTCTGGGTTGGTCCGACGTAAGATCCTCCAAGGTCAACATACTTCACCTTTTGGTTCTGTTTTCCCATGGAAAAAAATTAAGAAAAGTATTTGTGAAAATGTTATTCTTATGTAAAAAAAAAACAAAACAAAACAAAAAAAAAGGATAGTACTGAAATAAGCAAATTGGCATTTCACAGGGTATAGAAGTACCTGGAGGTTTAACATGGAAAACTGGATTCTGTTCTCAAATCTTTTTCATTCAGGTGACTTAGCAACTAATAAATCATCCCCTAATTTAAAGTAAAATTAATTTAACACGGAATAAGCAAGAGACTTCTAAACCTCATCATTCACAATATACCACAACACTGTTTTTTAGTGCCTTAAATTTGCAAGCTATGAACCACTGATAAATTTGTCTTAATAATCCAGGTTAACTCTGATGCACCCTGATACTAAAAGGGAAGCAAGAAAGTAAATATCACTTACTTTATGTGGTTTGCTAATCCAGACAATTGAAAATTAGCATTAGGGAAATTTGTTTATAATCTGAACCTTTGAGATCGCTTGTATGTTCAGTAGCAAATTTTCTAGAAGGTTTCCAATCAACTTCAATTGCAATTACTATGGACAAACTTTTGAACAAAAAGTGAGTAGGAAAGCTCTCTATCTCTGAATATGTTTATGCATAACTGGGTACTTAGTACTCAGGTATGCCAGAGGGCTCCTTCTTTTCTTTTGTTTTTTCTTTTTCTTTTTTATTGTCCAGCTCATCCACTTACCCTCTACCCCTCAAAAAAGAATGTCACTTCTACAAGGGCAGTGATTTTGTTTTATTCATTTTAAATAGGTGCAATCCAAACACCTATTTATTGGTGCAATATATTAAAGGGCAGCTGCTAAGCTGAAAAGAGATAAGTGAGAAGAAAGAGTTGAGTAGTAGGAAGCAAATTGAGAAATAGGTTATGGAGAATGTTGCAGAGTAAATTTTCCTCTCTTGAAAAGGTTGAAATGAAATTCAAGACTTTCAGGAAAAAAAAAAATTCAATTTCATCCCCGCTTTCCTCCCTCCACCCCCATTTTTAATGTCTTACCCTAACAGTGTAAGTCCTGCCACCCACTCGGTTGCGGGCTTCCAGAACAACCACACTCAGACCAGTCTCATGCAGAAGTTTGGCTGCTGCCATACCTGGGAGAGAACACAGTGAGAAATCAGAATCAGACATTCTCCAGGGACCTCAGAGAAGGTCCTTGTGCTAATACTTAGGGAGAAAAGCTCACACATGGCTCACTGTTGTTCCATTAGGCTTACAGGGGGCCAGTGCTGTGTAATGCAGGCCCAAGTTCCAAGTCTGGGAAATCAATCGCTCTTTTTAGAACGAACAAAAAGGTCTTCATTTTTGGTAAATATCTCAAATCTTAAAAACATCTGTGGCTACTATATAAAAATGTCTATCTGGGCTCTCTCTGGTGGCACAGAGGGTTAAAACACAGCACTAAGAAGCTAAACTTCAGCAGGAGTTCGATCTCCACCCCAGAGGTGACCCGCATGGCACGGCAGACCTCTCCTGACTTGCCCGCTGCTCCCCTCAGCAGTGTACTTAGTCGATCTGCTGTTCTGCTCCCCACTCTGTCT